CATTTCCGGGACAAGGTCATCTAGAGTCCAAGGCAAACATGCCAAATTACATCCCCCTCCCAAGATCTTTGAGCATTACGTGTCAGCAAAATCCCCCCCCCCCCCAAAAAAAAAAACATTAAGCACCAATTTGGATGCTTACCCCCTAAGCATAAATTCCCCCTTCTTCCAATACAAATCTGCCCCCATGCTGAAATCCCCCCTTTCAGCACAAATCTTTGCCTCCCCCCCATCCCCTTCCCTAGCTCAAATCCTCTCTCTCCCCATAAGCGCCCCAGCACAAATCCCCCCCCCACAAAAAAAGTCCCTCTTATAGCACAAATCCTCTAACCTCAACATTTCTCCTCCTAACACCCCCCCCCCCCCACTCCAAATTCTCTGGTCCAGCACAAATTCCCCTCCCCCAATCCCCCATCCTAGCACAAATCCCCCTCCCAAATTTCTCCTTCGAGCACAAATACCCCCCCAATCATTTCTACTAGCCCTACTACTCCCCCCAAAAGAAATTTCACCTCCTAGCACAAAACCACTCCCCTCTTACCATATCAACTTTTCTAGCACAAATCCCCCCTCCTAGAACAAATCATCTTTCTCTCCCATCACAAATTCCCCCAAATCCCCCATCTTAGAACAAATCATCTTTCCCCTCCCAACACAAATCCCTCCTCCTAGAACAAATCATCTTTCACCTCCCAACACAAATCCCCTGTCCTAGAACAAATCATCTTTCCCCTCCCAACACAAATCCCCCCTCCTAGAACAAATCATCTTTCCCCTCCCAACACAAATCCCCCCTCCTAGAACAAATCATCTTTCCCCTCCCAACACAAATCCCCCCTCCTAGAACAAATCATCTTTCCCCTCCCAACACAAATCCCCCCTCCTAGAACAAATCATCTTTCCCCTCCCAACACAAATCCCCCCAAATCTCCACTCCTAGCACACCTCCCCAAATTTCCCCTGCTAGAACATTTAATACCTCCAGCTGCCCCCAAATTCCCCCTACCAACACAAATGTCCCCCCCCCCCCCCAATCTCCTCGTGGTGCCCCCCCCCCCCAGCCTCACATGATGCTACAGTGCCCAGGGCAGCCGCTCCTATTGCCCACCCCTTATCCTGGCCCTGGACTAACGTACTGTGAGCTGTAGATGAAATTATTGTTGTCAAAGGTTCCCTGAGCCTGGGAAGTTATTTCAAGGGTTCCTCCATGTTGAAAAGGTTGAAAAAGGCAGCTAGAGGGTTTTATCGAGACTCAAGATCATAGACACATGTTACCCTCATTGAGCCACAGAGACACTGGAAGAGTTCATGTTACTGCACCTTTCATGATCTGTTTTGCATTAGCTTGCAGGGTATGCATGATCTTTGCCATTCTGACCCTGCTTGCACCATTCATTTTCATTATTTTCCACCTGTTTGGTAAGCTGACCATTACGATTGCTCTCTGTCTGACCCTTCAATCAATTACTCATCCTGTTACAGAACTTGTACCAGTAATTAAAAAATGAAAAAATAATGGAAGCCCCTCCCTTCTTTCCCCAGCTTTTCCCATTTGCTGTTTTTTCTGCTCATTTAGTCTAGGGGGGGGCGCTAATAGAATTAAAGTGTTACAAAACCCAGGGCCCTGCATTCACTATATTCGCTCTCCCCGGACCCTGCATTCACTATATCTGGTCTCCCCCGGACCCTGCATTCACTATATCTGGTCTCCCCGGACCCTGCATCCACTATATCTGGTCTCCCTGGACCCTGCATTCACTATATCTGCTCTCCCCGGACCCTGCATTCACTATATCCGCTCTCCCCGGGCCCTGCATTCACTATATCTGGTCTCCCCGGACCCTGCATTCACTATATCTGGTCTCCCTGGACCCTGCATTCACTATATCTGGTCTCCCCGGACCCTGCATCCACTACCCTGCATTCACTATATCTGGTCTCCCCGGACCCTGCATTCACTATATCTGGTCTCCCCGGACCCTGCATTCACTATATCTGGTCTCCCCGGACCCTGCATTCACTATATCTGGTCTCCCCGGACCCTGCATTCACTATATCTGGTCTCCCCGGACCCTGCATTCACTATATCTGCTCTCCCAGGACCCTGCATTCACTATATCTGCTCTCCCCGCACCCTGCATTCACTATATCCGGTCTCCCTGGACCCTGCATTCACTATAGCTGGTCTCCCCGGACCCTGCATTCACTATATGTGCTCTCCCCGGACCCTGCATCCACTATCCTGCATTCACTATATCTGGTCTCCCCGGACCCTGCATTCACTATAGCTGGTCTCCCCGGACCCTGCATTCACTATATCTGGTCTCCCCGGACCATGCATTCACTATATCTGCTCTCCCCGGACCCTGCATCCACTACCCTGCATTCACTATATCTGGTCTCCCCCGGACCCTGCATTCACTATATCCGGTCTCCCCGGACCCTGCATTCACTCTATCTGGTCTTCCGAGACCCTGCATTCACTATATCCGGTCTCCCCAGACCCTGCATTCACTCTATCTGGTCTCCCGAGACCCTGCATTCACTATATCCGGTCTCCCCCGGACCCTGCATTCACTATATCTGGTCTCCCCCAGACCCTGCATTCACTATATCTGCTCTTCCCCGACCCTGCATTCACTATCTCTGCTCTCCCCGGACCCTGCATTCACTATATCTGCTCTCCCCCGGACCCCACATTCACTATATCCGGCCTCTCCCTGGACCCTGCATTCACTATATCTGGCCTCCCCTGGACCCTGCATTCACTATATCTGGCCTCCCCCGGACCCTGCATTCACTATATCTGGTCTCCCCGGACCCTGCATTCACTATATCTGGTCTCCCTGGACCCTGCATTCACTATATCTGCTCTCCCCGGACCCCACATTCACTATATCTGGCCTCTCCTGGACCCTGCATTCACTATATCTGGCCTCCCCCGGACCCTGCATTCACTATATCTGGTCTCCCCCGGACCCTGCATTCACTATATCTGGTCTCCCCGGACCCTGCATTCACTATATCTGGTCTCCCCCGGACCCTGCATTCACTATATCTGGTCTCCCACAGTACACAGAACATGGAAATGCAGTTATTTCAGTAAATATAAACTGCTAAATTTTTTTAACATATAAAAAAGTAATTTTAACATATATTTTTAAATATATTTGTAAATGCATTCCAAAAGTGTAGATTTGTATTTTTAAAAATATGTTTAATATATTTTGTAATAAAAACACATATATTGAATACGGCCAAAACTGTAGCATTTCAAATATATGTCAATATATTTGGAAAGAGTATTTTTAAAATATATTTCAAATACCTTAGATTGTACGCCCCTTGAGGGTTAGGGACTGATGTGAATGTACAATGTATATGTGCGTAAACTGACGGCGCTATATAAGTACCTGAAATAAATAAATAAATAAATATATTTTTTTTCCATATGGGCTGGGGGCACTGCTTAAGGGGGAGGAGCCAGGAGCGCTGGTGGAGACCCGAAAAGAAGAGGATCAGGGCTGCTCTGTGCAAAATTACTGCACAGGAGGTAAGTATAACATGTTTGTTATTACAAAAAAAAAAAAAAAAGTCACTTAAGGCTCAGAAAGCAAAAGAAAAAAAAATCATTTCACACTCTACTCAAAATAAAAAAAAAAAAAAAAAAGTGTTGGCTTTAACCACTTGCCGCCCTGTCACTGTAGAAATACGGTGGCAGGGCGGCACTGGTAGGCAAAACCACGTTTTAAAAAGCGTGTTTTGTAAACAGATAGGGGGCACGCGCGAGGCGCGCCGCCGCCCTATCTGTCCCGCCGATCACCGCCACGATGTCAGTCGCCGGGTCACAGCCGGTCTTTACCGGTTGTTTCCAGGCGATCGGCGGCAAACAGTGATAGACAGCACAGCTGCAGTAGCTGTGCTGTCTGTCACTTCCCTGACAGCTCGAGGACAAGCTGATCGAGAAAGAAGAGTTTCTCTCTCTCGATCAGCCTTGTCCCGCCCAGTACACACCCCCGCCCCCTAGTAAAACACTCCCCCTCACTCCTATAACCCTTCCCTGAAAAATAAAGTTAACCCCTTCCTCCCCATTGCCATTAGTACAGTGTCAGTGTTTTTTTTTTTTGCACTGATCACTGTATTAGTGTTTTTGGGGATGACAGTGACCCCAAGTCAGTACCCCCCAATGTCAGAATGTCCGCCGCAGTCCCGCCATAAGTCGCTGGTCGCTGCCATAAGTCCCTGATCGCCGCCATAATTCGCTGATCGCTGCCATTATTAGTATAAAAAAAAACTAAAAAAAACTAAAAATCCCAGTATCTTTCCCGCCATTTGTAAACGCTATAACATTTTTTTTTTTATAGCGCAAAAAATAAAAACCGTACAGTCGATCAAATACCACCAAAAGAAAGCTCAATTTGTGTGGAAAAAAAGGATGTAAATTTCATTTATGTACCATATTGCATGACCGCGCAATTGTCCGTTAAACTAGTGCAACGCTGTATAGCAGAAAAATGGCGTAAATTGCAGTATCTATACCATAGTTTGCAGACGCTATAACTTCCACACAAAGCAATCAATATACACTTATTGGGATTTTTTTTACCAAAAACATGGAGCAGAATACATTTTGGCCTAAATTTATAACCAACTTTGAGTTTACTATATATTTTTTATAGCTGAAAGTAAAAAATATTGTTTTTCTTCAAAATTTTTGGCTTTTTTTTTTTATAGCGTGAAAAATAAAAAGCGCACAGATGATCAAATACCACCGAAAGAAAGCTCTATTTGTGTGAAAAAAAGGACGTAAATTTTGTTTGGGTGCAGCATTGCATGACCGCGCAATTATCAGTTGAATTAGTGCAGCGCTGAGTAGCAAAAAGAGGCCTGGTCATTAAGGGGGGTAAATCCTCTGGAGGGCAAGTGGTTAAATATATTTTAAGGTTCAAGATCCTTTAACTCTTTTCTCTTTTTGCGTCTCTTAGGTTGTGATGGACAACATGAAACGGAAATGCAAATGCCACGGCACTTCGGGAAGCTGCCAGCTGAAGACCTGTTGGCAGGTGACCCCTGAGTTTCGAACGATTGGCTCCGTCCTGAAGGACAGGTTCACAGTAGCCACCCTCATAAGGCCCCACAACAGAAACAATGGGCAGCTGGGCCAGCTGGAGCAGACGCAGGTCCCGTATCGGAGGCGGGCCAGCATTAATGACTTGGTGTATTTCGAGAAGTCGCCCGATTTCTGCGAGCAGGAGATGCATTTGGACTCGGCGGGGACGCAGGGGCGGATATGCAACAAAACCAGCCCGGGGATGGACAACTGTGAGAGCCTCTGCTGTGTGGCGTGGCCACAACATCCTGCGGCAGACGCGCAGCGAGCGCTGCAACTGCAAGTTCCACTGGTGCTGCTATGTGGTGTGCGAGGAGTGCCGCATCACAGAGTGGGTGAGCGTGTGTAAATAAAGGGAGGACACCGCCAGGACACGGCTTCTGAGATTTTATCTGAAAAACACAAGGAGGTTCTCTAGGAGAAAATTCAAATTTGATCACTCACAGAGCAGAGATGCTCAGGGACTTACAGCCCTCCCAGGGGCGGACTGACAACTCATGGGGCCCCCGGGCAATAGGGGATCATGGGGCCCCTGTGTCCTTGCCCTAACTCAAAAAAGCCTATGAAAAAGGTACCAGGGGCATCTCATGGGGCTCCCTACTGACCTCGGGCCCTCAGGCAGTGCCCGAGTTATCAAATGGTCAGTCCGCCCCTGAGCCCTCCACTCATTCAGTCCCCTTCTCCTTCATAAGTTGGCCTGGGACTAAACTGCACCATTGACTGCCTATGTTTTACTTCACATACCAGATGCTGCTCTTACTTGGATTGCCCAATCAGAATCAAGATGATCTGTCCTTCAAGGCAAAGTTACAGGTTCTCTTGTTGGGGACGTCCTTCCCATCTGCTCTATTCATCTGTCAGAGTCATGGGTCTAGTCCCTCTGTAAGCTCCATGTCAGAGCTTACACAGGGAAAGCCTTCTCCCTTCCCCCAATGCGCCCCTTGTGATTGGCCCAAAGCATGGCATCCTAGGACTAGTCGGAGAATGTCACATGTTCCCCTGTAGCCAAAGTATCAGGGATTTGCAAGGGCTCAGACAGATGAGCTGATCGGTTTGGAACTATGCTGGCAAGATGAGAACTACCATGCGAGGGGTTACCCTAACAAGAGACCCCCGAATGGGCAAACTGACATACTTTATGTTTTTCCTTTCAGTGCCCCCTCTCTATATGATGAAGGGAGCACATGACACACGTCCATGAATGGATATCTTGGAGGGAGGTGGTTTCATTTTTATCCTTTCTTTTTTGCCTAGAAGCCCTTTTAAAGTGTTACTAGACCCACAACAGTACAATCAGTCTCTATATGCAGTAAAACATGCTTGTTATACTCACGGTGGAGCCCAAGGGGTTAATCCTTCGCATTGTGTAAAAAGGCTGATCCTGTCTTCTCTGATCCTCCCCTTCTTCTACTGTCCCCAGTCCATCTGCTGATAGAACAGAGCCTTGGGGGAAAGCTGCACATGCTCAGTTTGGTGTGTACTGTTAGAGATTTTTTTTTCTCTCTGGGAGAGTACATGTGATCAGCAGAGGGCCAATCAGTGCTGTCCAGACAGAAGGTCAGGGGTTGTGCAGCCTTAAAGGACAAATGGGAGAATGAAAACTCCTCCTACATGTTTTACCAGTGCTCTGCTGGGCACTGATAGAAGTCACAAGACTGCTATATACTGTGGATGAGAAAAGGTTAGCAGTTTATAGTTACTAAAATAATTGCATTTCCATGTTGTGCGTACTGTAAGAAACCAGATATAGTGAATGCAGGGTCCGGGGAGTCCAGATATAGGGAATGCGGGGTCCGGGGAGACCAGATATAGGAAATGCAGTGTATGGGGAGACCAGATATAGGGAATGCAGGGTGCGTGGAGACCGGATATACTGAATGCAGGGTCCAGGGAGACCAGATATAGTGAATGCAGGATCTGGGGAGACCAGATATAGTGAATGCAGGGTCCGGGGAGACCGGATATAGTGAGTGCAGGGTCCGTGGAGACCAGATATAGTGAATGCAGGGTCCAGGGAGAGCGGATATAGTGAATGCAGGGTCCAGGGAGACCAGATATAGTGAATGCAGGGTCCGGGGAGACCAGATATAGTGAATGCAGGGTTCGGGGAGACCAGATATAGTGAATGCAGGGACCGGGGAGACCAGATATAGTGAATGCAGGGTCCGGGGAGACCGGATATTGTGAATGCAGGGTCCGTGGAGACCAGATATAGTGAATGCAGGGTTCAGGGAGAGCAGATATAGTGAATGCAGGGTCCGGGGAGACCAGATATAGGTAATGCAGGGTCCGGGGAGACCAGATATAGTGAATGCAGGGTCCGGGGAGACCAGATATAGTGAATGCAGGGTCCGGGGAGACCAGGATATAGTGAATGCAGGGTCCGGGGAGACCAGATATAGTGAATGCAGGGTCCGGGGAGACCAGATATAGTGAATGCAGGGTCCGGGGAGACCGGATATAGTGAATGCAGGGTCCGGGGAGACCGGATATAGTGAATGCAGGGTCCGGGGAGAGCAGATATAGTGAATGCAGGGTCCGGGGAGACCAGATATAGTGAATGCAGGGTCCGGGGAGAGCAGATATAGTGAATGCAGGGTCCGGGGAGAGCAGATATAGTGAATGCAGGGTCCGGGGAGACCAGATACAGTGAATGCAGGGTCCAGGGTTTAATACCACTTTAATAATTGTTTTTGACAAACTTTAACTTCCATGTGATACCAAAGGGATGTGTGAGGCCTAAAGCCTAATCTGAAATCAGCATGGGTGAGATACACTACTTGCTACAGAAGGTGCTGTCTTAGATGCTTGTTTAAAGTGGTTGTAAGCCTTTAAAATGAAAAAATGAACAAAGCATAGCCTTCTATGGTGTGTACTTGCCTCAACCCAAAGCACCTAGTGTGATTTCTGTCTGCTCACGCATCCCTCTGTTATCTGCTTGAGTCACTTCTGACACCTATGCTGACACCAAAAAATCCAGGGAGGCAGCCCTGCCCCCCGCCAGGCAGCAATTAACAGCCTCAGCTGTGCATGTTTCCTTATGAGACTGTTTAAATGGGTGTTGTGTCCATTCACTCCACTCAGGTCTCAGATCACACTCAGCTCTCTGTTTTATGCTGTGCAGTATGTGACATCAGACCCCCAGCCCCTGACCTTCTGGAGCTGAGAAACACTGGGGTGGAATTACTGAAACTGGAGAGTGAAAAATCCATTGCAGCTGTGCATGGTAGCCAATCAGCTTCTAACGTCAGCTTGTTCAATTAACCCCTCGCCCTCCTGAGGATTTCCCCCCCTTCCTGACCAGGCCATTTTTTGCGTTAGGGCGCTGCGTTACTTTAACTTACAATTGTGCGGTCATGCAACGCTGCACCCAAATGAAATTTACGGCCTTTTTCCCCACAAATAGAGCTTTCTTTTGGTGGTATTTGATCACCTGTGGGTTTTTTTTTATTTTTTGTGCTATAAAAAAAAGGCTGACAATTTTGAGGAAAAAAAAACAATATTTTTGACTTTTTGCTATAAAACATGTCCAGTAAAAAAATTGAAAAAAAATTAAATTCCTCATAAATTTAGGCCAAAATGTATTCTGCTCCATATCTTTGCTAAAAAAATTCCAATACGTGTAAATTAATTGGGTTACATGAAAGTTATAGCGTTTACAAATGGCGGTATATATACTGGACTTTTTAATTTTTTTTATTTTTACTAGTAATGGTCGCGGTCAGCTACTTATAACGGGACTGCGTTGGGCATTCTGACAGTGGAGGGGGGAACTGACTTGGTGTCACTGACATCCCCCGTGACACCAATACAGTGATCAGTGCTAATAAAAAGCACCAACACTATACTAATGGCACTGGGCAGGAAGGGGTTAACATGAGGGGTGATCAAAGGGTTAACTGTGTGTGTGCTTCACTGTAAGCACACTGCTTTGCATGTGCAGAAGCTGACAGGGGGGAGAACTGTTTTGAAACTAAAAGCTCTCCCCCCCTCGTCTGAGATCCTCGGCAATCACCGGGCGCCGGCCAGGACCCATTGATCGACAGCCGCGGTTTTAGTAAATCAACCCCACTAGATTCTGGAATTTGTATGGCTGTAGAGGAGAGAGGGCGGCAGATAAACAGGTACAACTTATGTAGGAGGATTTGTTTCATCTCTGTGTATCCCCTGAGGCCGGTCACTTCACTGGATTTACAACCACTTTAAATGATAGTTTAATGGACAGTTGTGGCAGCACCTCCCCTAAAAGTCAGTCTCAGCAACATTGTTTCAAAAAGGTTCTATTCCATTGTATGTTATCATACGTAACGATTGCCATAAATGTTACATATGTGTATACTTGGCAATGGCTGGTTTCACATAGGGACACAGACCTCTCACAGCCCTAAGATCTACTGTGGAGATTGTTAAAGGAACTCTGAGCCCAAAAGTAAAAATGTATTTTATTGCAGCTTAGCAATTCTGAAATGTGATAACTGCTTTAGTTTTATTTTTTAGACTTTTTTTTTCGCTTGGTGACCCTGCTAGTAAATCTGTTATTTTCCAACTTCTTTTAGCCTGGGTTGACATATGTGCGGTGCGGTATATTGCATGTGATTCGCACAGGAACCGCACCGCACTCCTGTGCAAATCACATGCGATTTGTGTGCAGTGCGATCGGAGCCGTACATTTTGTATGGTTCTAATCGCACCGCACCCGCACCAAAAAATGCGCAGGACTCTTTTTTGGGTACACACTAGAATCGGATCGAACGGGTATTCACACCCATGCGATCCGATTCTGCACATCGCACCACGTTTTCTAGACCAATTTCGGGGTGTTGTTAACATACACATCCGCAGCGGTTTGCATGAATGGGGTGCGATTATGATGCGGTGCGGAATTCACACTGAAAACGCTGCAAATTCCGCACCGCATCAGTGTGAACTTTCATTGAACACGCTGACGTCAGAAACTGATTGGCTCCCATGCAGGGGCGGACTGACAACTCATGGGGCCCCCCGGGCAATAGGGGATCATGGGCAATAGGGGATCATGGGGCCCCTGTGTCCTTGCCCTAACTCAAAAAAAGCCTATAAAAAAGGTACCAGGGGCATTTCATGGGGCCCCCTACTGACCCCGGGCCTCGGGCAGTGCCCGAGTGCTCAAATGGTCAGTCTGCCCCTGGTCAGGATAGAAGAGGATGAGCATGCAATGAGGCTCATTCATAGCTCAATGAACTGATAGAGAGCTACAGGACAGTGGTGGGACCTTTCTGGATAAGCAATGTGGCAAAAGAATGTGACTCTCCATGAAGGATGAACTGTGCATTTGCCTCACCCCTACCACCCCTACCCCCAAACCAGTACTAATAAGATACGTTGGGAAGGTGAATCTGATAGGAGATACTGCATCAGGTAGGACAGTTTGCATATGCATTATATGGGTAAATGTGGTCACCTGACCATCACACCTTCTATTATGGCCCAAAGTATGTGGACCCCCTACAAATTATTGAGTTCAGTTTTTGTCAGTGAAGGTTACTCTAAATGCTTAAACATGCAAAGACATTGTGAACAATTGTGCTCTTCCAACCCCATGGTAACAGTTTAACAAGACCCTTCAAAGCCTACAAAACCCGCTCAATAAAGAAATGGTTTGATGAGTTTGGGTGGAGGAACCTTAAAGCGGAGCTCCAGGCTCCCCTGAAACAAATTAAAAGTCAGCAGCTACAAATACTGTAGCTGCTGACTTTTAATATAAGTGCACTTACCTGTCCCAGGGGACCAACAATGTCCTCACCCAAGCTGGCATCTTCAGTAAGGGAAGCCTTGAAGTAGTTTCCTACTGCGCATGCACTTTGTAAACAGGCCGCAGTCTTCGGGGACCTGTGAAGTGTCCCAGAAGGATGCAGGGGTTGGAGGGTTGAACGTCTTGCTTAGAGCGCTGCAGCGATCTGACCCAGAAGTGGGAGTGGGTACCTGTCAAAACCAGGTACCCCCCAAAAAGTGCCAAATGTGGCAGTGGAGGGGGGAGATAGACAAGAGGAAGTTTGGGTGGAGTTCCATTTTAGGTGTCCTGCACAGAACCCTGACCACAACCCTACTGAACACCTCTGAAATCAGCTGAGTCTTCTTAACCAACATCACAACCATAAAGACATTGATGAGTTTGGCGCGGAGAAAACTTAAATGGCCTGCACAGAGCCCTGACGTCAACACTACTGAACACCTTTTGGGATGAATTAGAAAGAGCTAGGTCTTCTCTACCAACATCTCCATAAAGACATGGCTTGATGAAATTGGTGTGGAGGAACTCGAGTGGCCTGCATAGAGCCCTGACCTCAACCCTACTGATCACCTTTGGAATGAGCTAGGTCTTCTCAACCACCATAAATACATGGTTTGATGAGTTTGATGTGGAGAAACTTGAATGGTCTTTTCAGAGCCTTGACCTGAACCCTACTGAAAAGCTTTGGAATGAATTGGAACACATATTCCAAATAATGTCTTCTCAACCAAATCATGTCTTCTCAACCAGCATCTCCATAAAGACGTGGCCGATGCGTTTGGTGTGGAGAAACTCAAGTGGTCTGCACAGAGCCCTGACCTTAACCCTACTGAACACCTTAGGAATGAATTGGAACACCTATTCCAAACCAGGTCTTCTCATCCAACATCAGTACCTGGCCTCACAAATGATCTTTTGGCTGAATGGCTCAAATTCCCACAAACACACTCAAACATCTTGTGGAAAGCCCTCCCAGAAAGCTGTGGAGGCTGCTATAGTCAACAAAGGGTGCCCAACAAGCTCACATAGGTACGCTGCTCAGGTGTTAATAAACTTTTAGCCACATAGTCTATGTAATTCAGTTCTGTATTTCAATATTCGAAGTTCCTCTCTCTAGGACAGAATTGTGAAATCAAGTTGAATTATGATTGTGACAAAGAAAAAGTTCAGGCCCTCAGAGCTCATTACATGTAAACCTCAGGTTAGGAGGGGGTGAGGTGGAAATGAAGGTGTTCACACCTGCTGAAATGCCCTGAGGTCGGCAATGCACATTTCTACATGTACCTGAAAAGCTGAATGACACATCGTCTGCGCTACATACCAGAAATACTTCTAGGATGTTCCGCGGGACGATATGCGTGTATTAGAGCTGATTGTATTTATCTTACCGGATAACATGTGATTTCACAGCTGTTGTTGAACTAGAGGCTGACAGGGCATGCTGGGACCTGTAGTTCAACCTTAATCATACCAATACAGCCTCCTGAAGTCTTTACCTTCCATTCGCTAAATAGTTTTATAGGGGCCATTTACATCTTTGCAATGCATTGACCAGGGGCGGACTGGGCCCCTGTGTCCTTGCCCAAACTGAAAAAAAACCTATGAAAAAGGTTCCAGGGGCATCTCATGGGGACCCCTACTGACCCGGGCCCTCGGGCAGTGCCTGAGTTTCCAAATGGTCAGTCCGCCCCTGGCATTGACACATGCATGCAAGTTATTATGCCTTATGTGCACATTAATGTGTGTTGAATTAAGCCAGCCAGGTGAAAATAAATGGGCTGCCACGCACCAAATTTCACCGAAAGTGGTGTGTGTGTACCAGACACGGACTGACAACTCATGGGGCCCCCGGGCGATAGGGGATCATGGGGCCCCTGTGTCTTTGCCCAAACTCAAAAAAGCCTATGAAAAAGGTACCAGGGGCATCTCATGGGGCCCCCTACTGACCCCGGGCCCTCGGGCAGTGCCCGAGTTTCCAAATGGTCAGTCCGTCCCTGGTGTGTACCATTTCTGGCAGCGCAGCACAATGCAACCTCTGTCCGTAGAGTGTGTTGGGGTGCCGTTCAAAACGGGCGGACTGACCATTTGGAAACTCGGGCACTGCTCGGGGCCTGGGGTCAGTAGGGGGCCCCATGAGATGCCCCTGGTACCTTTTTCATAGGCTTTTTTGAGTTTGGGCAAGGACACAGGTGCTCCATGATCCCCTATTGCCCGGGGGCCCCATGATTTGTCAGTCCGCCCCTGGTTCAAAATGAATGGCACCGCTTTACACCAACACATGCAACATGCATTGACACACGTGGCAGTAACCACTACCATGGGAATGTGTTCTTACTGCAAGAGGCGCCTGCCACCATCTGCCACACCTTCCATTAGCTTACATGGCCTTAGGGGACATGTTGATGTGCTTTGCATTATGGCAATCCATTCAAAATAAGTGGTCTACCAAGGCACCAGAAATGGAGCGAGTACCATATTGCACTGCAACACACAGGGTGTTGCACTGCAATGAAATGCATGTCCCTTGCCAAGGTGCGTTGGGGTGCCAATCAGAATAAATGGCGACATATCACATTGCTCATCCAAAAATATGGATCTAAGTCTAGGTTCACACTACAGCGGTGCGGTAAATCCCATGTGATTCGCACAGGAACCGCACCACATTCCTGTACAAATCACATGCGATTTGTGTGTAGTGCGATTGGCGCCATACATTTTGTATGGCTCTATTTGCACCAAAAACACGCAGGACCCTTTTTTTGGTCTGCACTAGAATCAGATTGCATAGCTATTCACACCTATGTGATCCGATTCTGCACATCGCACACCGCGTTTTGCAGACCGATTTCGGGGTGTGTTAACATACACACCCGCAGCGGTTCGCATGAACGGGGTGCAATTGTGATGCGGTGCGGAATTCACACTGAAAACGCTGTGAATTCCGCACTGCATCAGTGTGAACCCAGGCTTACCCTTCCTACTTTTACTGATAAAAATGTTTTTTCCATCTGTGTCCCCAGTGGAAGACTTTCCTGCTACTTCCTGTCTCACAGGAAGTGAGGGTAAATCTCCCCAGTGGGGGCACAGACCACAAATATCCACTCTTCGCCTGTTCCAGTGACAACTGCAAAATTTAGGATCCCCCTCCCTTCCTCTCCCAGTGACAAGAGTCATCAGGACAAATAGAAATGTTGAATTCCTCCATATGGGACACAGACACCAATAAAAACCTGACTCTTCCAAGCCTTTTTTAAAGATTACAAAAAGTCTGTAATTTGACTTTAGAGTAACCCTATAGCAGAAATAAAAAGTAGAAAAGAAGGTTTCCCTGTAAAGATCAAATATTTTAGTTGCCGATCCTGCTGCCTGTGCCATTGATCTTTTCTCTCTATAACAGCTATGGTGCCCCGAGAATCCTTTTCATCTGACACACTTCCTGACATGTCGAATTCCTGATCTCCTCCCCACCAACAGCTGTGGTTCCTTCCGCCAGTCCCTGCTTCATTACTGTATCCTGCAGTGACATAGAGACTGGTGGAAGGAACCACAGCACACGGTGGGTGGCTCAATAGTCTGACACTCCAGGAAGTGTCAGATGAAGAGGATCCTTTGTCCACTGAAGGTCTTTAAGAGATCGAAATCCGGTGGCAAGACCTTTCTAGCTCTAAAAGTGGAACAATGAGGAGGCATTGCTTACTTTGTTTTAAAAGGCGTATGCTCCAGGGCTGTCATCCTCATCCGATCTTCACTTCCCAAATAACAAGCATGCTCGGGGTGAATTCTGAAGTCTGATGGCAAGATCTTGAAATACATATCATTACACGGTCTCCCATATCAGATAATGACAGTTTTATGCTGTAGATCACGGGTGTCAAACTGGTGGCCCTCCAGCTGTTGCCAAACTACAAGTCCCATGAGGCATTGCAAGAGTGACAGTTACAAGAATGACTCCCAAAGGCAGAGGTATGATGGGATTTGTAGTTTCGCAACAGCTGGAGGGCCGCCAGTCTGACATCCCTGCGTCTAGATGGATTTAGATCCACGCATTGTAAAATAAATCAAACCGACCTTTACAATCATGTTATTTGTATATGTAGATATTATATGTATATTATATAAGTTATTTTCTTGTTGTGAATAGTCATTCAAATAATATTGTAATAAAATTGTAATTGTTTCGATTTTGCTGGTTTCGGTCTCCTTTTTCCTTCTCCAGTTACGTATGATACCTGAACAGAACATGTTCAAAAGAAAAATAAACAGCCTTTGAGATAGAGTAAAAATAAATACCGTATTTTTCGCTCCATAAGACGCACCTAGGTTTTAGAGGTAGAAAACAGGAAAAAAAAATTCTGAACTAATGGACTGCAGACATAATACAGGAGATGACCAGAGACTGCGGACAGTACAGGGATGACCAGGGACTGCGGACAGCACAGGGATGACCAGAGACTGCGGACAGCACAGGGATGACCAGAGACTGCGGACACAGTACAGGAGATGACCAGAGACTGCGGACACAGTGCAGGGGATGACCAAGACTGCGGACACAGTACAGGGATGACCAGAGACTGCGGACACAGTACAGGAGATGACCAGAGACTGCGGACACAGTGCAGGGGATGACCAAAGACTGCGGACACAGTACAGGGATGACCAGAGGCTGCGGACACAGTACAGGAGATGACCAGAGACTGCGGACACAGTGCAGGGGATGACCAAAGACTGCGGACACAGTACAGGGATGACCAGAGACTGCGGACAGTACAGGGATGACCAGAGGCTGCGGACACAGTACAGGAGATGACCAGAGACTGCAGACACAGTACAGGGATGACCAGAGACTGCGGACATAGTACAGGAGATGACCAGAGACTGCGGACATAGTACAGGGATGACCAGAGACTGCAGACATAGTACAGGGATGACCAGAGACTGCAGACACAGTACAGGAGATGACCAGAGACTGCGGACACAGTACAGGAGATGACCAGAGACTGCAGACACAGTACAGGGATGACCAGAGACTGCGGACACAGTACAGGAGATGACCAGAGACTGCGGACACAGTACAGGAGATGACCAGAGACTGCGGACACAGTACAGGAGATGACCAGAGACTGCGGACACAGTACAGGAGATGACCAGAGACTGCGGACAGTACAGGGATGACCAGAGACTGTGGATAGTACAGGGGATGACTGTTGACCTTTGGGGAGGGGGGGGAGCGGGTACCTGAATTTGACAGATACCCGCTCCCACTTCCGCGGAGTTGTTCTTTGATCTTACCTGTTCCTCTATCCAGCCGCGCGCTGTCTTCCCGGCTTCTGTAATGGCGCTCGGCATGACAGCCGGGTGCCCAGTGCGCATGAGCGAGAAGCACTTGCGCTTTGTGATTGGTCCGGCGGCTTCTGGGATCTGTCATGTGTCCCAGGTGCCACCTTACCATTCACAAAAAGCACCGCTTCCTGCGCATGCGCACTTGGCACCCGGCTGTCATGCCCACACTACAGAAGCCGGGAAGACCGCGCCGCTGGATAGAGGAACGGTAAGATGAAAGAACAACTCCACGGAAGTGGGAGCGGGTATCTGTCAAATTCAGGTACCCGCTCCCCCCCCTCTCCAAAGGTCAGCAGTCATCTCTATAAGGTCCCGCTGTACAGCTGAGCGGCCGCCCGGTATTCTGACACGGCGGCAGTGGAAATACCAGACCGGCCGCTCCATATTCGCTCCATAAGACGCACTGACATTTTCCCCCCTTTTTTTTGGGGGAAAAAAGTGCGTCTTATGGTGCGAAAAATACGGTAATTAACATCAATAATCTGTTTTAAACCGTCATACACATATATATTTGAAATCAAATCTTTATTATTTTTTTGCATTAACATACGCAGTGTGGGAGGATTTCTGCCAGTCACAGTCACGCACCTCCAGCCTAAGGCTTAAAATAACAGAGAAGTGAAGCCTCCATCAACCAATATGTAATATCCCACCCCCATTGCATTTTGCTGGTTAGTGGCCATACAGAGGGAGGGAGTGGGCTGTTATTTAACTGTGTAAATGCCCACATGTGTGATTAGGGTTTAGGAGTGTGCTATGTACTAGGTGCAGGGATTAGGAGTGTGCTATGTACAGGGTGGTGCAGGGTGCATTAGGAGTGTGCTATGTACAGGGTGCAGAATTCAGAGTGTGCTATGTACAGGGTGAAGGGCTCAGGAGATTGTTGTGTACAGGGTGCAGGGCTTAGGAGTGTGTTATGTAAAGAGTGCAGAATTCAGAGTGTGCTATGTACATGGTGTAGGGCTCAGAAGTGTGCTATGTACAGGGTGCAGGGCTTAGGAGTGTGCTATGTACATGGTAAGGGCTTAGGAGTGTGTTATGTAAAGAGTGCAGAATTCAGAGTGTGCTGTGTACAGGGTGAAGGACTCTGAAGTTTGCTGTATACAGGGTGCAGGGCTTAGGAGTGTGCTATGTACAGGGTGCAGGACTTAGGAGTGTGCTGTGTACAGGGTGCAGAATTCAGAGTGCACTATGTACAGGGTGCAGGACTTAGGAGTGTGCTATGTACAGGGTGCAGGACTTAGGAGTGTGCTATGTACAGGGTGCAGGGCTTAGGAGTGTGCTATGTACAGGTTGCAGAATTCAGAGTGTGCTATGTACAGGTGACAGAATTCAGAGTTTGCACTATGTACAGGGTGAAGGACTCTGGAGTTTGCTGTGTACAGGGTGCAGGGCTTAGGACTGTGCTATGTACAGGGTGCAGCGTTCAGAGTGAAGGACTCTGGAGTTTGCAGTGTACAGGGTGCAGAGTTAAGGTGTGGATATTTCACAGGCCAGGTTACCCCAAATTCTAAGAACCCTTCCCCAGTACAGAGTTCTCCCCCGAAGCCCCACCTTGCTTCCACTACATGTACTTTTCACTCACGTGCTGCAGCTCTGATCTTGGTACCAACTTTAACATCCGGCGAAGGGCTTTCCTATAACAATGCTCCTACAGTAGGTGATCCGGGAACATCGACTAATCAGTCCGGAAAGGATGTGTATTATGTCACCTCCAGGTTCTCAGCTGTCATTCCTCAGTTACTGTAGCTGAGGATACAGCTAATTAATAACGGTCTGTATTTGATTAGCTGCACTGGAGGGAAGTAGCAGTCTAATAGACCCCTGATGTCTACATAAAGAGGACCTGTCACCTGCCCAATACTACCATGTAGGGGGCCTGTTAGCTCCCCTGTAATAGCAATAAAGTTAAACAAAGAAAAAAAGTGTAAACAAATTATATAAAATAAATAAAGATAATATTTTGTTAAAGCACCTTCATACACACACCTCAGTTAAAAGGTGCAGCATAAATTGCACAACACATGTGAGGCATTTTTGCGAAACTTGGAGTGAGAACAAAATTTCTAGGGTCATCATTCATGTTTTTTTTCCAATTCTCTATTTATAATTATATAATTAATTGTTAACTCAAAACTCTTAACCAATACAGCTAATTGACCATGATCTGTATTTGATCAGCTGCACTGGAGGGCAGAGGAGGCATTAGCAGTCTAATAGACCCCTGATGTCTACATAAAGAGAACATGTCACCTGCCCAATGCTATCACACAGGAGGCCTGTCAGCCCCCTTGTAATAGCAATAAAGTTAAACACAGAAAAAAAAAGTGTACAAAAGATAATATAAAAATAATTAACACTTTTTTTTTTAAAGCACCCTCGTACACACACATCAGTTAACCATTTCCTGTCAGGCCCATGTACATAAACGGCCAGACGGAAGCAGTGCCGTAGCGTGTTGCTGTTTACAAACGGGCCCCGCAGTAACTGCCTGTGCGTGCTCCCTGGGAGCGCGCGGCACCGATCGCTGTATGGGACCTCTGTGTGAGGTCCCAATCATGTGATCACTGATTGGCCAATCAGTGATCACATGAATAGTAGTAAGCAAGATGTCACTTCCTGACATCATTGCTTACTACTAGTGAAATATGTGAATGATCACAGAGGTCACATGGTACAGGGCTATTCACAACAGCATTGTACCATGTGACAAGCTGTGACCAATCACAGCTCTCACAGTATTTCTTAATGGCTGCAGGAATGCAGCCAGAGAAAAGGAGAAATGATTGCTATTACAGCCTTTATGGGTGTAAAAACAATCAGTGTAAAAAAAGAAAAAAAAAATCTTCATCACCCCCCACAAGTAGTACAGTGTCACTATGGTAACACTGTACTGCTAGGGTGATGGTCTGTTAAAAAAAAACCCATAAATAATAATATAAAAAATAAAATAAAAATGTAAAAACATTTTTTGAAAAATTATAATTTTTGGTTATAATAAGATTTATGAAGATAGATTATTTACTAGCATAATTTTATAAGAAAAACACTTTTTTTTTCAAAATGTTTGGACTTTTTCATTTATATAGCAAAAAAATAAAAATCCCAGTGGTGAATAAATACCACCAAAATAAAGTTTTATCCGTCTCAAAAAATGCTAAAAAATTCATATGGGTACAGTGTTGCATGACCGCGCAATTGTCATTCAAAGTGTGACAGCGCTGAAAGCTGAAAATTGGCCTGGGCAGGAAGGGGGTGAAAGTGTCCGCACCAGGGGCGGGCTGACCATTCGAGCACTCGGGCACTGCCCGGGGTCCCAGGGTCCCCATGAAATGCCCCTGGTACCTTTTATAGGCTTTTTTGGGTGTGATTTGAGTGTGGCCAAGGACACAGGGGCCCCATGATCCCCTGTTGCCCGGGGGCCCCATGAGTTGTCAGTCATCCCCTGGTCTGCACTTGAAGTGGTTAAAAGGTACAGCAGAAGCATAAATTGTACCATACATGTGAGGCACTGTTGCAAACCTCCAAGTGAGAGACACAATTCTAGGGTCGTCATTCATGATTTTTTTTTTCTCAATTCTTCATTTATAATTATATAACGGTTAACTCTGAACTGACAAAGCGTTGCCTATGGAGAATTCTGTGTATCATTTTTTTTTTCCGATTTGATGGGTGTGCGCCATTTTAAAGCTTGACCTGTTTGGTGTCTATTTATTCGACACAACCCCATCTTTTATATTTTATTTAGAAAAACGGGTATAATATTTCCTAGCACTAACATTAATTTAGTGTATTATTTCCAGAAAATATGCATTTGATAAATAGCTATGCATATATCAAGCAACATAAAAAATTGTAACTACCACCATTTGATTCTGTTTTCAAAACATATATTCCTTTTTTGGGGTACATTTATTTATTTCAGGTACTTATATAACGCCATCAATTTACACAGCACTTTACATATATATATTGTACATTCACATCAGTCCCTAACCCTCAAGGGGCGTACAATCTAAGGTCCCTAACCCTCAAGGGGTGTACAATCTAAGGTCCCTAACTTACATTCATACATACACATACTAGGGGCAATGTAGACAGGATCCTATTAACCTACCAGCATGTCTTTGGAGTGTGGGAGGAAACCGGAGTACCCAGAGGAAACCCACGCAGGCACAGGAGTGAAATTGCGATCACTCCTGTCAGTGAAGAGCGGCACCAGCAGTTCTTGTGTGGAGCAGCAGGAAAGTGAACAGGGTCTGGACTGGGCCGGAGAAAACTAGCAGACAGCACGTGGTCTGCAGCATAGGAACATTATAACGGAAGAGCCCACCCCTGCATCCAGATTCATCGTATTGCTCAGAGGAGGGAGTTCCTGCTACACAGGCTGCTACACGCACTCATCCCTTAAAGGGGACCTCGGGTTACTGGATCCATATATCACCCAGAAGTGCCTGACCCACCACCCATCCAGAGGGAGGATTTCTCTATACCTGGCTTAACCTGCTTCCTTAAAGGGTGACCTCGGATGATTGATTTATATGTGTATTAGCTTTACGCATCTGGTGAGTGCGTATTCTTACCCCACCTTTAAAAGCACAAGCACTGAAGCACCGCCATAGTGGCCACTCTACACACGGATTGTCACCTTATGAATGCTTATCTATATGGACATTATTACCATTCAGGGGCGGACTGACAACTCATGGGGCCCCCGGGCAATAGGGGATCATGGGGCCCCTGTGTCCTTGCCCAAACTCAAAAAAG